ATTAACAAGGGACGAATTTTAAACTATGTTAACATATCAATATTATCACAATCAAAGCTCGTATTTTAATCACCCCGTTCACACAGGCAAATCTCAGATTATTAGCCGTCAAATTTGTTGTGCTTGTTATTCTCACATCTCAAGGAAAAGTTATGTTTCTTCTCTGTGCCACCGTGATCACGTTTTTATGCTATAATAAGCAATATAAATATATTTTAACTTAACATTTTTTTAAAAATACCTTTACAAACCTCTTCCTTGCTAGCGTCCATTTTTGTTTACTTTTACATTTGGCATTTCTCCTCTTTTTCGCAAAAACAATCGATAAAGCTAAGATGGACACCGAAAAGTTATCGGTTAAATCTGAGATTATTTAATAAGTACAGATTAACAAGGGACGAATTTTATATGGCTAATCTCTTGTTCTAATTACAGATTAGGGTGTTAAGCTCGAAAATGAGGATAATCTACTTATATGTGAGCCTAGTATTAAGCTCGAAAATGAGGATAATCTACTTATATGTGAACCTAGTTTAAGCTACCAGCAAGCTATTTATAAGGTTAGCATTGACAGCATCGATCACATTTAATTCTTTGGTGGATTTTTATATCAGAAGCTGAATCTTGTGGAAATTGCAGATAAAGGGTATTGAATATAAACCCTCGATATGCTCCTTACCGCCTTTTTTGAGCCCATAATGAAGTAAAGAAAAGCCACCTAACGGTTAAATTGTTCGTAAAGTTATTCCTTTTTATGTAATATACGTTTCAAATAAGAACCAAATCGGACCATAAATACGGTTTTGCCAAATATCTCGATACCTGGACCAAGTAGGAAATCAATTCTTCTTTCATATCGTCTTGTTCTCCTGTTCTGAGCTAAGCTTGAAGTATCGAATCTCTAGCCCATCCGGAAGCTGATTAAAAATGTATTACAAGATTTGATTACACACAGGTGAAACTTAATAAAACTTAAAAAAAAAAAACAAGTTTATTTCGTTTAATTTGTAATAACCATTTGTATTGCGATATAAGCGTGCATTAAATGAAATAAAAAAAAAAAAATATTTTTTGGAAAAGTAGTACACTTGACATTGAATTTTATATCTGATAAAAAACAAACTTCCTATTCAAGAGGGTAGAAATTTCCGTCTGATTAGTGTGAAGGATTTTCATAGCTATTTTTTCGGAACTGTAGAAGAGACTGCTACTGCTACTGAAATCAGGGAAGAAGCTGTATCATTTTCGGATCCTTCGTCATGGTCATGATGACTCTTACCTTGGTTCAGGTTCTTTAGAACTATTATGCTTTTCTATATTTTTGCGACGCTTTTCAGGGTGACCAAAACAATGTTCACACTCCTCTTCATCAGAAGAAGAGCTTTCCCCAAAATTTACAGGTTTTTTATATATGCAGCAGCCTAGAAGACAAGGTGAGAAAAAGTTAAGCATACATCAAGATAACCAACCGTTCAGCTATGCAAAAGCTAAAAATGCAGATCGATAATACTTTTTACGCTGATTTCAAATATTGGCGCAATTGAAAAGTAAAGAAGCTATATGAGGTAAAAAAAATGCGATATTTTAAAATATTAATATTTTCTAAACTACGTAACCGATTAAAAAGGTAAGGATGTAAGGATAAAGACAATTAATTTATCTTCAAGTTGATATATAAAATGTGTATGCTTGTTTATATATTTAAGCCAAAAATATTAAAAAACAAAAGATGTTGTAATTTTTTCATAAAATAACATTGTTTCGTTATTTACTGACAAAAAACTCGAATTCGAAATTAAAAATATGCGGTTTAATTACATAAAAGTTCACTTTGATTGATTTAGAGGAAAAAATTCGGGTGGTAGCAAGCGGTAGCAAACAGGCGATAATAGCTAATGAATAACAAATTAAAACGCGCAAAGAACTCAAGTGAGAAATACTAAAGAGTATAAAATGTCAAAATCGTTAACACTTATGCACAGTCTGTTGATACTTAACCCTTACATTAATATGTGCGATTAAAATATAAGAGAAAGCATAAATGGACCCAAAATTTCCGCCGCCTTTGAACTATCTTGATACGTTCAATTAAAAAAAAATTAAACATAAAAGTATTATGCACAAGCTTACAATACTGGAGGTTCTAAATGGCACTTATGCATATATGATAATACTAATTTCCATCATGAAATAGATCGCCTTTCGTAGGAAGGAGTTTCGCTATAGGATGAACCAACTTCCATGCGGCGTTTGTAAAGTGACTACTCTTACGTGCCCATCATTACCAGGGTGGCATTTCTTAACTCGCGCAAGCGACCACTTTGTCGGAGGAGTAGGCTCGCTGAAGACAGCAACTACATCACCTTCTTCAATGTTACGCGAGGAACGGAACCATTTAGTGCGACGTTGTAGACTCACGAGGTATTCGTCTTTCCATCGGCGCCAGAAATGTAGCCTCATGGCTGAAATTGATTGCCACACCCTCAGGTTCTGGAACTGACTTCAGTGGCTCTCCAACAATAAAATGGCCGCGAGTTAGAGCTTCTATGTCGCCAGCGTCCGTAGGGTTGTCACAGAGAGAGCGGGAGTTGATGCAAGCCTCCACTTCTGTCAACAGCGGGTTGAACTTTTCGTATGATAACAGATTTTCACCCAGTACGCGTTTTAGGTGATACTTAATGCGCTTGATACCGGCTTCCCAGTACCCGCCCATATGAGGTGCAGAAGGAGGGTTAAAATGCCACTCGATATTCGAATCGGTAAAAAAATTACGTAGTTTGGTGTCAGCCATACACTGTTGAAACGCGACTCGAAGCTCCCTTTCGGCACCAACAAAATTCGCACCGTTATCCGATGTCATAATCTTACAGTAGCCTCTACGACTGACGAATCTCTTGAATGCGTTAAGGTATGCTGATGTGGACAGATCTCCAACAAACTCCAGATGCATTGCGCCGGTGCACATACAAACAAAGGAACAAATGTATCCTTTGGTGGCCTTCGCTCCTCTTCCGTGGGTAAACTTATACAACTACTTATACAAGAACGTGCGTTAGTTCGAGTCGCAGGTAAATCCCCCATCATTCGCGTGGCGTGGTTGCGATTCATGCAGATGCATTTCACGCACTTGTGGTATATACGGCACGTAGTAGACTTCGAGCTCCAACAACCCAAAATCGACGTTGCAACACAACTTGCATAATGCGGGGTCCAGCGTGCGGTATAAACTTGTGGAATTCGGAGACTATTAGTTTTGCCAGCGGAGAGTTCTTTGGCAAGATGATAGGATTCCTTACGTCAGGAGTAACCGTAGCATTTCTCAATCTGCCTCCAACGGGCAGGATATCTTTCTTGTCGAGATACGGCTGCAAACGCAAAAGACTACTGCGAAGTGGAATTGGAGAAAAAGAAAACTGTTGCGTATACCTTATTAATCGGAATTCAGCCTCAGTTATTTCCTGGAAACTCGGAGGACCAAGATGCTTTCTAGCGTTGTGCGTAGTGCTAACTCGAGCGTTGAAGAAAAAACGTAACACGTAAGCGATGATGCGCCGCAACTTGGAGTACGACGAATATTTCGTTATTATTGACCATTGATCCTTCAAACTTGTTACATGAGCGTGAACCTTGCCCAACTCAGTTGTATGATTCTTCGACGACGTCTGCTTCCAGAATAGGTCAGCGCCTACCAAAAACTCAGGGCCAGTCCACCACAGCTTATAATGGAGTAGTTCGGACGGACTGATACCCCTTGAAGCACAATCTGCAGGATTTTGTTCTGAGTGGACATGGTTCCAACAATCAGGAGGCAAAACCTCCTGGATATCAGTTACGCGGTTCGCAATAAAGGTCATCCATCTGCTGGGATGCTCTTGTATCCATGCCAATGTGATGGTCGAGTCCGTCCACGCATACAAAGGGTAGCGGAGTTCGTCCCAGCTACGCAATACGGTCCGCACCAATT